TAATAAAAATAACTATAAAAATTAAAAATAAAATCAACTCATAAATTAATCATAACTCGATAAAGTTGAGCTAAAGTTGAATTTTTTTAGCTCGTAATCCATTTTCGACCGAACATATATAATCCATTACCCGAATGGATCAAATCTGAACCCGACCAATCCTGCCCGTTTGCCAGCCTACATGAAACGCAACCGCAGCTAATTTGGTGCGGTGGTGGTGTCACTGTCTTCCTCTGCAAAATTTCTACTTTTTGTTTTGGGTTAATCCTTTAATTAGTCCTTGAACTTCTTTTGATATGCTAATTAACCCTTGAACTTAGTTTGCCTTTTCCATCGAATACTCATTAAGGATCCTTGAGCCTTAATTGAAATTTCTCTATTAATGTTAACTTTTCTTATTTTATTGGAAGGCCTAGGAGGAACAACCCATATATTTTCAATGATACAAGGCTAAAATCAAAGTTAATTTTTCATTTTAGGTAAAATTTGACGAAACAAAATTAAATAAAAAGATATATCAAATTAGAACATCATCAAGAGGACAGTAGTATGAGAGAAACCATAAGAGAGAAACCCACCAACACCATTAGAAATCCTAACCACCCTAACCCCTTTCCTGAGCGTTTTCCGATGAGAGAGCGACCAAACCACACCAACTACCACAGCCTTCAGAGAAGTAATGCACGGGGACATGAAAGGACAGTAGGACAGGAGCATGAGGGGAACCGAAAACCAACATATGGGTATGGTAAAGGGGTTCTGGAGCAAGCAACCTCCTTTTTCATCACAAAATTTCCAGAAGATGTGGAGATGGGAGATATGTGGCAAGCATTTGTGAAATGCGGAAGGGCAATTCAGATTTTCATTGCACAAAAGAGAGATAGATGGGGATGTCGGTTCGGCTTCGCCAGATTCCTTGATGTGGGAAACCTGAACTCCCTGGAGGCCAAGCTTAATCAAATCAAATTTGGTGATCAACCCCTCCATGCAAATTTGGCCAGGTTTGCTAAAGGCGACCATAAAATGGAGCGGCAAAGCAGAAGAAGGGTGCCACTGAAAGAAAGAGGCATTTTGTCCTACGCAGAGGCCTTGAAAGGAGGGAAAAGTGAGACCCATGGTCAGGCTCAAAGGAAGGAGTGGCAGAGGAAAAGGCAAGGAACTTTAGACAAGTCTCATATGGAGAGCTGGCACGGGCTTGAGGTAAAGGTTGAGGAAGAAGATATGGAATGGTTGAGAAACAGTTTTGTGGGGTTTGCCAAGAGTCCCGAAATCATCTGCAATCTTCAGGAAAAATTCCTAATGGAAGGTTACTTCTCAACAAAAGTAACACCAATGGGTAGTAATATGGTATTGATCACTTGCGAAGACAGTGAGGAACTAAAGAATCTAGTAGAAACTGGGAGAGACTGGCTTGCACAGTGGTTCACAGATACCAAACCTTGGAATCCCGAGTTGGTTGCAGCAGAAAGATTTACTTGGTTGAGATGCCAAGGGGTACCATTACATATATGGAAGAGCAGCTTCTTTAAGATAGTGGCAAATCTCTTTGGAAAATTTATCTCCCTTGACAATAGTACTATTAAAAAATCACGATTGGATGTGGCCAAAATCTTAGTCATGACACCTTCCTAGGCGAATATTCAGAGGGTGATAAAGGTTAAAGTTAGGGAGTCCACATTTCACATTAGAACCTTAGAGGAGTCAGGGATTGATAATTTATTTTCTCTCCACTCTGATTTTGTACTGTGCAGAAATGAAGATTCGGAGGATGAAGAATGGTCAGATGAATCAAATTGGGGTGAAACTGAAAACGAACATATTTGGGATGGTTGGCAAATTATGCAGGATGATAAAGATAGGGAGATCATGGAGGAAGTCGATTCAGGAAGGAAGAGATGGGGGGTGTCACCGGAGCCGGAGCCGGAGGTAGAAAAAGTTTCTGAAACCACGTTGCCAAAAAAGTTGCATTTAATGCAGATGGATGCAATTCAAATTTGTTGGCAGTAGCAAGCAAAGAGGATAATTCCGAGGAGGATCATGGATTAGATCTATTGGAAAATGGAAAAAGCAATGCTAAAGACGGCAATGAGGAAATCGACTCTAACAGCTTGCGCAAGGGTAAGGAAGGAGACAGAAATGTATACTAGCAAGATGTCAATCAATTGGGCCTTATGGACCAAAACACCTCACAGTTGAGATTGGATAGCAGCAGTGTTGGGGTGGCCCAGAAAACTAATACAAATTTAAGATTACAACATTTGGGCCAAAGAAACTTCAACCATGAAATTAGCCAGGAGGGCGTGGGCTCCCAACAAGGAGTTAAAATACTAAAAAGGACTATCACCTAGGCCAATGAAAAAAGTGAAGACTCAAAAGAAGTAGGCGACTTGGAAGACGAGAGAAGGAAGGTGGGAGTCAATAATATTCTACAAAGTGTGGAGATAGAGGAGGAGAAAAGTACTCAGCCATTTTGGGAGGGGTTAGCAAGTGATGACGAGATCCTCCAAGCAAGGGCAGAACGCCTGGCTCGAGATAGAGCAAGAAAAGGAAAGTGGATCAAGCAAATGAAGGGAAGAAGGAAACGTAAGAACTGAGCAAGCACTGGTGAAGATAATTTGAAGAGCATTCACCAAATGGCTGGAATTGAAGAGGAATGTAGTTCCTTGAATTGTAAAAATGAAAGCAGTAGGAAGTGGAAACAAGAAGCAGCAGAATTTTGGGAAATAGGGTTAAGGCTAGGGCTGATTTATAAGGGCAATGTGGAGGACCTTATTAGGCGAGTGGGTGAAATGGAGAAAAGAGATAGAATAGCTTTGGTAAAACAAAAGAAGTTGACAGTAGCTGCAAAAGAAGGAGCAGCAACAAATCCCAAATGAGAATCATCTCCATGAATATCAGGGGACTAGGGGGAAGTAATCAAAAAAGGGGCTTGAGGGAGTTAGTAAGGAAAGAGAAAGTGGATCTGGTCTTTATTCAGGAAACAAAACTTGAAGTGTTCGATGATAAAATAGCAAAATCCATCTGGGGTGATGAGCATTGTGCATGGGTTGCAAAAGATGCAAGAGGAAGATCTGGCGGAATTGCGTGCGTATGGAATCTAGATTCGTTCAACATGGTGCGAAGAATTGAAGGTAGTGGCTTTATTGGAATGTTTGGCTTTTGGGGAAAGGATGCAGTGCCTTGCTCTCTTATAAATGTTTATTCTTCCTGTGATAAGCAAGAGAAAAGAATCTTTTGGGGTGAACTCCTCGACTTAATTAAGGCAAATGGAGGTGGAAATTGGTGTGTTGGAGGGGATTTTAATGCAGTACGAGACCAAGAAGAAAGAAGTGGGAGGTACATTGATGCTGCAGATATGAGAGGTTTCAATGACTTCATCTTAGGAGCAGGCTTGGAGGAAATTCCTATGGTAGGGAGAAAATTTACATGGTATAAACCAGATGGAACAACAATGAGTAAACTGGACAGATTCTTATTCTCCACAGAATTTCTAATCAATTTCCCAAATTTGTCTCGAAGAGCTTTGAATAGAGACTTATCAGATCATTGCCCTATTCTACTGAAAAGCTTAAATACGGATTGGGGTCCAAAGCCATTTAGAAGCCTAGATTGCTAGATGAACCACGAGGGCTTTGATGTATTTGTTCATGATAAGTGGAGAAGTTTTGAGATAGATGGGTGGGGCTGTTACAAACTAAAAGAAAAGCTGAAGATGTTAAAAATGGAGTTGAAAGCTTGGAACAAAGAAGTATTCGGAGGGGTGGATAGAAATATTGATACAGCTAGAGAAGAAATAAAGCGGTTAGATGAAAAAGAGGAGAATGGTGGGCTTACAAGCATGGAGATCGGTAAAAGAAAGGAGAATTTTCATAAGCTCATGGAGTGGAGTAAGGCAAAAGATAGCATGCTATTTCAGAAATCTAGGCATAGATGGTTAAAAGAAGGTGACGCAAACACGAAGTACTTCCATGGTTGCATTGTCCATAGAAGAAAGCAAAATGGAATTACAGGCCTTTATAGCAATGGAGAATGGATCGAAGATGTAGGTGAGGTAAAGGAGCTGGCAAGAAACTACTTCAAAGGTAAATTTGAAAAAGAAAAGTGGAGCAGACCTACACTAGAAGACTTGCAATTCAAGAAGATTAGTGAAGCTGATAATAAGTTCTTAATCTCCAAATTCTCTACCGAGGAGATTGAAGAAGCAGTGTGGGGATGCAATGGAACCAAAAGCCCAGGCCCAGATGGTTTTAATTTCAATTTTATTAAAAAGGTTTGGCCAGTTATTAAGGAGGATGTTTATGCTTTCTTAGCAGAATTTCATGAAAATGGCAAGCTAGTTAAAGGGAACAATGCTTCATTCTTAGTCCTGATTCCTAAGAAGGACAACCCTCAAAGTCTTGGGGACTACAGGCCAATTTCTCTCATCAGCAGCATGTACAAAATAGTCTCCAAAATACTTGCTATTAGGCTGTCAAAGGTGTTGGACTTGGTGATAAGCCCTAACCAAACATCTTTCATTGGAGGAAGACATATAATAGATGGCATAATCATCACCAATGAGATCATTCATGAAGCTAAGCAGTCAAAGAAACCAATGCTGGTGTTCAAAGCAGATTTTGAAAAGGCATATGACAGCATTAATTAGGAGTTCCTTGCTGAAATGATGAACAAACTAGGCTTCTCAACAAAATGGCGAGCCTGGATAAAAGAGTGTCTGTCTTCAACCACTGTATCTGTGATGATAAATGGTAGTCCTACCAAGGAGTTTACAGCATCGAAAGGATTAAGGCAAGGAGATCCTCTTGCTCCTTTTCTGTTTTTAATGGTTGCAGAAGCCCTTAATGGGTTAATTAGTAAAGCGACAGAGGAGGGATTGTTCAAAGGGGTCTCGGTGGGGGAGTCGGAATTGAACATAACTCATCTCCAATTTGCAGATGATTCCATCTTCTTCTGTGAGGCT